AAGTTTATAAATTTTAACACATAAATGTTTCATACAGAATTATAATAGTTAAGCACTAATTCATTAAGACGTATGAGGGTCTAGTTCTGAAGTCCTTCACATTCTTAATCTACGTATTAAATGGATTTAAAGTCAGATTCAGCCTCCGACTCTGACTTGCCTATCCTTGATCAGTTTGAATACTACTTCTATAACATAGTTTACAATTCGAAAACTACATTAATACATGAAAAATAAGCACGAACTACAAAGAGAGCGTAGTTATGCTTACACTTATAAATATTTTATATTTAAAGTAATTCACTGAATAAAAAAAAATTACTTCTACAGTTTCAGAATGTGTATTTTAAGCTCTTTAAAGCCGACCATCTTCTAAAAAAAATAACACTTTACCGTTGCAAATATCAAGTGGTTAAAGCTGTTGAAGGAAATAATCTCTATTTAATATGTGAATCACACGAAACTCTTGAGTACAAAAAAAAAATGGCAGAGATATTTGATGTTGAAACAGGTGGCACGTACACTCACAACTGGACTTTAAATGGTTAAGTAACGAACTCTCAGATAATTAGAACATACAAGCAACTATACATTATAAATTCATACATTGATATTGTGCATAAGAATATTGCGTTATGAACCCCAGAGGCAAAATATCGGCTGTGATGTGATGGCTTAGCGTGTGTATGTACTTATATTTATAGAAACGGCAAATCACTTAATCATCTTGGAACACGATACTCCCATAATTGGAACCATAACACCTTACCCTTTGTTCCCGATGATTAAAGGATTAAACGATTCCCATTTGAATTAAAATCGTCGTGCCTTTCCGATGAGACTTTTCAATTAGTAACGTTATTCTCGATGTTTTTAAATTCCCTTTGCCAATCAAAATATAGGAGCAATAAAAACGCCCTCAATTTCCTCTGGTAGAAGAGAATAAGAGAATCAAGCTCAAAATGATTGACAACGCAGAGGCAAATAGACGCAGGAAACATCAGGATAAAATCCTGCTTAATGTGAAGTACTTCCCCTGACGAAAAACTAATATTCGTTTAATCTTCAAGCTCTTCAACAATCCCCTTATAAGTTTCCCTACCACAATTCTGTATGCATTCTTAAGATCCCTTATCATAGCCCGTCCCAGCGTAATCTTCTACATGTCGCTATCTCACGTGCATTAGGTGGTCTGTGTAATCACCGAGTCCCTCGTTGTGTAATATCCTAAATTAATCATGGAAGTCCACGTCATCCTCCTTAGCTCCTGACCACTTTCTTAGATATTACATGTTACGTTTTGTTAACTTTCTTTATCCATCGTATATATCTGATTTGACAAGCTGTTAACACTCTCCGAAAGATAGGACATGTTCAATGTCAGATTTGATTTCTTTCAGTTCCATATTATACATTATCACCTTTTCAATGAAAAGTTTATTAAATATTATGTTACCTCTATCATCATTGGAAGATATCAAACACTTAACATGATAATACCTTAATTAAAATTACACCGCAATTGGAACGTAATGAAACAGGGAAAATGAACTTATATGAAATTATACTGGACTGACAGGAACAAAAATCTAATTTTCTCTACAACTTTTAGGGCACACCTAGAAAACACGAATAAATTAAAATCCATTTGATAGTTTCGTAGATGAAACGCGAGACAGACAGACAGACGAACCGACAAAAACACTCGTGCACGCGTTCACGTCGTGCGAAAAACACGAACAATGTAACGCGTGCGAGATAACACCACCACAAAACACTGATGTATCAGAAAACAGGCTCGCTCCCCTAAAAAAAATAATCCATCTTCACAGCGAATATGTTTCCGAAAGGACGAGTGCAAAATTCGCGTCACGATGTGTTAATTTGCGTACGGAACCTCGCAGTAGACACAACAAACACGGAAGTAATTTGATGATTAAAAATTATTTAATAAATTTTAACGTGGCGTTACTTCGCTTCAAGTCACAGACAAAAAGTGACAGTATAACTATAACTATTTTAAATTACTTCATTTAAATGTAGCCCATTTGTAAATGAAATGTGAATTCAGAACTGCAGGGGTATTAAAGAATTTACGTCTTCCAGCTGAAATTACACGATTCCTTGTTCAACTTTCTTCTTAAAGAACGAAATGCTTATAGCTGGTCAGAAAATGTCGTCAAAATACACACTGTCCAAAAAAATTAATTCATCAATACGTTTCTAGTAAACTAGTTTACACTACATTAAAAGACAAGTAATAAAATGCGTGTCTTCGTCACTCCGGAAGGAATATGCTTCCGGTTCTTATAGTTAATGTGCTAGTGAGGAAGATAATCAAATCCGCACCATCCATAATACGACAAAGAATTTGTAACTACTGAACTGCTACGACCGGTTATAATCGAATATGACAGCCGAGGAACAAACAAGCCTGTGGCCAGTTCCTATTCTTGTTCAGTTTTCTGCCTGTTCAGAACATAATTTTTAAGTACAGATCAACCGGTGATCTACATGAAATAGCTCATCCGCTCCTCGAGCAGACAAATTGTTCACTCCTGACCTAGTGAACTATTTTTGTACAAAATATCCGCTATTAAATCCTATTCCAGCGCAATTTATAACTTCTGCACCTGGCACCAGAAACGGATCAGCACACAAAGAATTTATATTAAATCGTGAGGAGAAGAAAATGAGAAAGGATGACTAACAAAAAGGAAAGTAAAGAAAGAAGACAACTTTTTTCTTTCTTTTTCCATGTTTTATTTCTGTAATGCAGCACATTACATGTTCAAAACGCTGTTATCAGCAAACAAGTTGCCGAAAGAGGTCAGCACTCCTGCTATATTTTCGGGTTCAAATCTCGGACAGGAAACTGGCTGTCATGACCGAGATTTTTCGTGCTTTCCCTCAGTCTCTCCGCTTAAACCCGTAATACGCCTTAAATGGACCATGGTAATTCCCCTCCACTACTTTTCAAATTTTGTACTCATTTGTCATCCTTTTTTGGTACTACATATTCTGAGTCACTGACAACGTCGTTAAATAAGCCATATATAAACAATTAAATCACTATTTTATAATCAAACAGGCACAGTAAATAATGGTCTTTATGAATATTCGGACTCGAGTTTCACATTACACTTTCAGAACGTCACAATTTACTTCATCTTTAAACAAGAAATCCATAACTGACTTTAAAGAGAACACCTCACCCCAAAGTGGGCGCACGAATCAACAAAATATTGATAAGTGGGATCCCAGTATACGTTAATTAAATTAGACAACACAAGTATCATATTACAGTGGTGCATCCGATATGACATCTGAAATAATTGCACCTGTAAATATATTAACATTCAACACTTCAGGATCCACAAGTCGTAAAATTACTTAATCAAGTTTCATGATTCACGGTAGGGACAATCGAAAATTATTGACACAAAGATCAAAACTTAAATTCCATTCCGCTGAGCAGAGTCCAACTTGATAAGCTGAAGTCACTTAGTTTCTCAAGACATTTCAAGCACGTTATGAAACTCGAATGGCCATTATAATATTCGCAAAATCCTGCGATGGCTTCAGTCCACATCCTTACACCTTGTTTTTGCAAGTTGTATCTCAATATTATCCTCCAGTTTTCAAACTGGTCGGATCCCTTTATGCTTCTCGATTTAAATTTTCTACGCATTTGTCATCTTCTCCCCATGCCTGCTACATATTCCACCGCACATTATCATCCTTTGTTTCGCTTGAATTAATATTTATTAAAGATCTCAACAACACGTAACCAAGTGGGCCTACACTGACATATGCAAAATTAGCTTTGAAAACAGAGTATGTTTAACAAATAACAAAATTCCTCATAATGCAATTCTCTCCGTATTTCTTGTATGAACACACAATTCTCAGCATTTATTCTCTCTTTTTACCTATGTTTTATCTGTTAAATTTAAAAACCAGTATTCACATGCGCATAAAATATGTCCAACTGAAGTTTTTATATCCCAGTATTTATTTTTGTAGCTGGGAAAAACGAAAAATATTCTAAACTAAACGGCAACAACCACATCCCGAATTTATCCGATTTAACTTCTTCGTGGACGTAATTTTTATTTGATAAACCAGATCACCGCACTCACATCCTATTTACTAATTGTAATATTATCCTCCCAATTACGCCTATGTTTACTTATCGTCCATTTCCTTCATGTTTTCCTCGTCTGTCAAATCCTCCCTGACCAGATCATCGCAATAATATATTTGGTGAAGACTACAGACTAGCTCCAGTCTCATTCCACTTAATTCCTCTCAGATCTAAATATTTTCCTGAGTACCCTTTTTCAAACACCTTCAATCTGTGTTTTCTCTTAACTTGAGTGGTCAATTTTCACACTCATGTAAGAAAGAGATACATTTATCGTTTTGTATATTTTAATTTTTGTGAGGCATTAGGAGGAAAGACAGAAGATTCTGAACTATCCATTCCCCGAAATTAACTTGATCTTAATTTCTTTGTTGTCCCGAAACTGTTTAATTGCACCAAATTAACACAACGGATGTGTCCTGTAGTCGAGTTATGAGACACGAAGCCAATTACCTCTGAATTTTCTTCAGTACCAACTTCCGTACAGTCATCTAACATATTTCCTGAGATATTTTTTCACGCAAGAAATTTAACATTGTCAGCATAGACCAGAAGCTGGTGAATTTGTAGTAAATGTAATTTCCATTAAACTACTTGAAAAATTACGAGTTATTTTATCAAGGTCACAAAACTTCAGGCAGATTTTATCTTCACCGTTTCCTGTTATCTAGCGGAATGTCCTAGATACTTCTCGATCTTGTTACAAAACGCATAAAACACTGTTGACTTTAATTACAGATAAGTCATGTAATGATTAGGCATCATTTTCGTCAGTAATCAACAATCCATTTTTTTTTTGCCGTTGTCTTGCCTTTAAATACCGCAGACAATAAGATACAGCATCAATTCAAGCATCAGCGTCTTGTGAAACTAAGCAGAAGAACTCTTAACAATGAAAGGTAAGTTTCCTCAAAAAGTTTCTTATTTTTAGTCACAGTAATGGACATTTTTAATAAAATTGGCTGAATTGCTGGTCTGTAAATTAATTCTATAGAGCATAATCATTAAAAAAAAGCCGATAGCAGCTCAGCTTTTTATGTACCCGGAAGGTGTATTACCACGTTCACCGCCATTGTGCCAGTTCTGCCTCCATCTTCAACCTATCTCTCTACGAGCCATCTTAATGTTACTGTTACCCCTCCATGTCCTTCTCGGACATCTCTTTGTAAACGTAAATGTATAATTATCGCAGGTACAAGATTAACACATTTGTTGTGTAATGTATTAACTATTTCCACGTTCATCAGAAGACCTTATAACCTTTAAAATAACAACTGTAAAGGCCGACGTCTGAAACTTGTCAAAATATTCGAATAGTTAAATTAAAGCACGGTTTTACAGACCTTACAGAGGGAATATTTACAACAACATTAAAGTTTTATAATAAAAACGGTGTAAATGTTATTAAAATTTATTGTGTTTTTTCTTGTGAATCCAGGTTTGTACGCTGTAGCTGTTACGTGCTTCGTGGTGTTTTCTGTGCAAACAGTCAGGAGCCACCCTCATAATTCACCAAGAGCTGACCTACCAATTTGCCCAGAGGACGAAAATAATGAAATAATACTATTCCCTAAACCAGAAAACTGCAGCGAATTTTACCAGTGTGCTAATGGATATCTCTACACGCAGCATTGCAATAAAAATCTCTACTACTGTGCGGAGAAGGAATACTGTGATTACATTGACAATTGTGACTACAGCGGATGCAAGCTGAATCCTGATAACAAAATTCTGCACAAGCCACTTATCGGCGATAATATTTATATTCCAGCCGCAGTACCACAATGTCCTGAACAGGTTGATGGGAATTTGACTCTGTTGGCAAATCCTGACAATTGTAGTTCGTATTATGAATGTGACAATGGAGAAGCTGTCCTAATGGACTGCCCGCCTACAACGTATTTCTGCAGCGAAAAGGATATCTGCACTTGGATCTGGGAGCCAGAATGCATATTTAATTGTCAGATCTTGAACAAAAAGACCTCATTCGTTGACGACCATAATATTGAAGTATCGCGCACTAAAGAAATGCAATTTAAAATTAGAAACAAGAAATCTTTCGATTAAAAATCGAGAGAAAAGATCATTAATTTCAGAAGAAATTATATAATTTTTGGTAACGATTAGTCACTGCATAATAATTCGCTTCGTTTTGGCGTTACATATATGGAAGATTGTCGTTAAGTAGACTGGAAAGCTAAGCCATAAATTTTGAAATCCTTATGCAATAATTAATATTTACAAATACCTAAAATACATTCAATAAAACGCTGTGGAATTCGAGCCCTTGCCTTATTTTGTATGGTAGAAGATGGTAAATGAAGGACAAACTATAGATTCATAGTGCTGAATAATGTATGCATATGCTGTTTATGTTAAGTTCCTAACAAACGCTGTACAGATTTTGTGTAAGTTGTAATGTGAATATAATTGTCTTAAGATATACCAGTAATTACATTTGTTTCCTTTCATACAACTACTTATGTCATAAATTCCTAGGCTATAACGACCTTAAGTTGTTCCCTAGATGACATTACTGACAATTTTTAATTATATATGTACGTATGTCTTTATCAGTACAAAAGACGTATTAAATATAAATATTATTATTAAAAATCAGATTGTATTTTATTCATGTTTGTTTGGAAATAATTGCTTTTGAACTCTTATGGATATTCTGTTATCCCCAACGTATTTATACGAAATAAAGTAACGTCTACAACTACGATTTACCGAAGTTCATCGCTGCTATAACAAAAGCCTGCCATCAGACCTCGTACTGAGTAAAGATCACCCAAACTGTATCACCATGACCTCATTCTTAGATATCTACTGCCAATGTTCTATACAGGAAGCGCGTATTAGATGATGTCTCTCTATGGTGTATTTCGTAAATTGGTTTTGATTGCATTACTTTCTGAGAAAATTTGTTAAAACAAAAGCCGAATATAAGATACTGGGCATTACAGACCTCTTTAAATAGTGGTAGGTTTGAAATAGAAATGTATAAGGCAACGGAAAAACACATTCTGCTATGAGAACCATAATTTTTACAAATAAGAAACAAGATAGACTAGAGGTGCTGAAACGTTCTTTAACAACATTTGCAGGAATTATACTTCAATGTCAAAAGGAGATTAGAATATTACACAGACGTAATAGATTAATAATATTTTAGACAGAACATCAAACCACATATTGAAACATACGTATAATGGAAGCATGCTGAAAGATTGAAAGAAAACGTTCTGCCAAAACTGTTGTTCAGTAATTTAAAAAAATATTTGATCACCGTTTAGAAGATTTATGGCAAAATAAAAATCGAATGGGGGGAAAATAATTCATTGGGCCTATAATCTCAGTAATGATAAATATGGACTATTTCGGCCACAGGCATTACAAAATTATTTCAAGGCCTAAATTAATTCAGGTGTTAATCTCGATAAATATTAAGCAACATTTTGATTTAATGTGAACATTTATTTACAACGAGCCTCTTTTAAAAACTAATGTAACTTGAAGTCAGTTAAAGTGTCTACATGTAAGCTCTAAGTAGGCGCATTTAAAATTCGTATCCTCTCTAAGTTACTTTATTCCATCAGATTGCACATTTCCTCATAAAAATTGTATGTATAAGTCACAGTTTATCCTACGGTGTTAAATAATCAGCTCATATTAACTTGTCTGATTTTCATAACCTAGCAATAAAAACATATTTCAATCCTTTTACATATGTTGGTGAGGAAGAGAGGTAATGTATCTCATGTGACCTCTTCAACCTACACGTAAGTTTAAAATACTGCTTAACCAAAATTAACACAAATAATTAATACAATATTTTATTTTCCGTCTATACACAAACTTAAAATAATGTTGTTTAAAACACAAACATGACGCAATTAAGATATAAATTACAAATAATTAACTTCAGGTCTCATTCCTTTCTACATAATTCCTACCGTCCATAATGTCCTATCTGTGATTATTTAACGATGCTATCTGTATATTAGATTATACAACGTAGAATGATAGGATGGTTTATGAATAATTAACTGAAAGTGTAGGGGAGAAGGGGGCAAGTTGTTATATTTTAGTTTAAAAATCACTCATTTTCAGCAGAATCTTAAGAGTCTCGTATCGATTGCGTCTCCCCTGTGCGCAGTTCTACACGAGGTATGGTATTTGTAGCTTGTGTATTACGTGAGCTAGGTTGATTTAAGTGTTTTTACCAATAAAAAGTAAAATTTTTCTTCTGATTTTGAATTCATTTCCACGACCGTGTGGTAAAGGCAAGTTCTTTAAAGTTTCCTTACCTAAAGCTCTTTATATTAAGAGCAATGCGTGTACTTCGTTCTTCACTTCAGTCGAATATTGACACTGCTTTGACCGTTAAATCAAAATGGCGTACTGTGGGGCCAGGGGCACTTTGTTATAGTGTATCAGCGTGACCCGTATCTTTTGCAATAAACTTGCGTTTGCAAATTATTACATTTCATTGTTTTATCAAGAAAGATGGTACGAAAGTACAAAAGGAAGACTAATAGAGGTAATACAAGTTTGAAAACGCTTAAGTTAGCAGCTGATGAAGTCTCTTCTGGAAGAATCTCGTTAAGGCAAGCTGCTAATATATGATGAAAATGTTTCA